GCCGCCTGTATTTTACTCGCATCATATTATACCTCTGCAACTCATTGGCCCGCCAGCCCTTGTGACCATCGCTTCCAACACCCTTTCCTTCAACAACACACTAATTGGTGATTATTGTGTACCTTTATCTTTGACTTTGACACCCGCTACAACTCACCAGACTTCTCATTTATTGATGCAGTTTTATCTGATTTATTCCAAACACGTTTTTTGCACAACTACTTCTCTCGTTGTTCTGGATTCAACATTCTTGTAACATTTATTTTTATCATTTATATGTAACATGTAATTGTCATATATATCTGTAACATGTATGTGTAACATTTAATTTCCTCTACAACTCCATAAAATAAAAGACCTTTTGTCGTCTCGTGTTTCTGTTTCAACACTTTCGTTATATGATAAGTCCTAAGTTTGCTGGGGTTTTGTTGTTGTTGTTGTTGTTGTTGTTGTTGTTGTTTTTGTTTTGGGGTTTGTCTATAACACGTTCTGTTACGTGGCCGTGGGTTGTTGGCGGGGTTTTTTTCTGAAAGACTTTCCTTACGGTTTTAGATTCCAACAGCTTTGAGATGAGTTTTGCCGTATACAGTTATATCCGTAAACCACACTGTTTCTTACAGCTAGCAACATCAGAGAGGGTTTACAGTGTTACTGTAAACTCTCTGGTAACATACAATATGCTTTAGTACTAATTTGTTACGAAAAAACTTTGAATGAGTGACTGTTTTCGATTGCCCTATTGTTTCCTGTTTATTTTATCAGGGAGCGTGTCGTTTCGTTTATCCGGTTGTTGGTCGTTTCGTTTATCCGGTTGTTGGTCGTTTCGTTTATCCGGTTGTTGGCCGAGTTTTTATTTATGAAGGTAGAGGTGACCGTTTGTTAATTCTAGTCGAGCTCACGCACTCTCACAACTCGTACTCTGGCGTCCAACGTGACGTCACTCATTGTATTTGGTATTATGTTCATATCAGATGGGCTTCTAATAATTTTATCAGATGTCATGTTTACTTTCAGGACGTCATTATAATATGTTAGATGTGCTGACAAAATGAGTTAATTTTCGGATTTTAGCACTACGGGCACAAAAAGAAACATCAAACTTACAGGCTGGATTTGCCAATGCATTGTCTTGAAATGATAAAAGACGTGTTAAACTTGAAGAAAATGGCATCAGTTATTGGAAATCTACAATACATTTGATGTGTCTCTTTTCGGCCGAAATCTCCTTTCGTGAATAGCGAGATGTAACTCGTTTTGTCAGTACATATCACATAGTGTGTGTGTGTGTGTGTGTGTGTGTGTGTGTGTGTGTGTGTGTGTGTGTTTGTGTGTGTGTGTGTGTGTGTGCGCGCG